AAGAGCAAAACTAAGAGCAGAAAATCTTCAAAAATCATTAATTTGGCAGTGCATTAGTGTGAACTGTCAAAAAGTTAATGGCACAAGCAATAGCTTGACTTACTCCAGCTACAGTCTTGTGCTTTTGTCTTCATACTGAGCTCCACACCTGCTGGTGTGGGTGATGTTGCAGGACAAGGGGAACTGGGATGTCAGGTACATTTTCCATTAATGCTTTAGTTTGTTGGGAAGGTAATTGGGAATCCAAGCTGCCATTCATCTGGGAGGCAACATCCCAGGGAAAACCAAGAGTGTGCAGGAAGCATAGAAATATATGGCAAGGAACAGCTCAAGGAATTAAATGCCTGATTCCTGGCAATATTGAAGGAAAATTCTTGCAAGGAAAGGAAAAAAAAATAAAAGGCAATTTTCTGAATCCTCTGCATTTGGTCTGTATGAAGAATGCAGTTTCATTGCCCCAGTTCCCAAACACAGTTCTGATATTAATCACATGAAGCAACCATTATGAAAAAAGAAAAAGCCTATTTTGTATCTCCCATTAAGAGAATTTTAATAAAGATTTATGAAGACAGGTCTTCCGGGAGCAGTTTCAAAAGGAGCCTGAGGGATTTAATCATCCAGTTCCCTAGTAAACTCATCCAGTTCTTAATGCCACTTGGCTCCCTTGCATATCTCATCCAGCAGTCATAGCTGGTTTCAGGGGTTACTCTCAGCTCCCCACTGCTCACTGCCTTACTGAAAGCCTTTCTCAGTCACTCCCAAACACCAAGAGCCCGGTGCCCAGCCCCAGTACGTACAGTCCTGAAGATGACCCACTCGCTGTGGCAGTACTCCAGGGTGCCCCCAAACTCCGGGGTCAGTTGCTGCTCATCAATGTACGTCAGCAGGTCGCTCACCGAGCTCAGCATAACAACCTGCAGACAAGGCAACTCCGTTAGCTGGGTGATCATTGCTTCTACCCAGGTCACAGAGACTAAGCCTACCGATCTTTTATGCATCTAAAAATTGGGATTGCTCTAAATATTGTTCTAGAGCATGGCTTTCTTCTTATGTTTATGGCTCAACACAGCTTTTATTTGTTGTATTTGGCCACTTCTGTAAGCCAGCCCTGATCTCCCAGGTGCTTTCTTCCTTAATGCAAAGCACAGTGAGATGCTGCAGTATCTGACTGCAGAACAGAGCTGAAAGCAAAAGTGATGCAGGTTTAAGCAAGGGATGACCAGAAAACTGCAAAAAAATACATACATTTTAATAAGTTATGGAACATTGACCAGTTTCACATAAATATATACTCATGAGTTTTTGTGTGTCTAGATCTGCAATGGGATATGTCAGGAATTTACGAAACTGTGCAAATGACAAACATTTTAGAGAGAAAAATGTAAAGTTTGTGAAAATCATACTATTTCCTAAAGGAAAACATTGATTTCTTTTGTGTTTGCAATTGCATCAACCTTAGATTCTATAAATTTACTTTTCTTCTCTTAATTATTCTCATTATATCCTATAATCAAGGTGATTTGAGAACTCTGGAAATTTTGACTTGAGAATATAAAACCATTTCAGCTGCTATTTTAGAAACAAATACCAAAATAATGTTGGTATGGAGTCTACACTGAGATGAAAATGGGTGGAATTCATAGCAAAAGCTTCAGTAGATATGTCTTTTGATTTTCAGATGTTAAGCAAATTCCTGAGTATGGATTTATCCTCCCCAAAACATGCAGCCTATATAGGGGATGAGGACAAGCTGAGAAACTCATCACCCACTACCATGGGCACGCTCTGTGGAGAGCAAACTGTGCTCAAGAGAGCTGGAAAATGCTACAGGAGAGACTTGGTGGAAATAGGGCATTTCTGGCAGAGGCACTGTGGTTACTCTTCACATAGAATTACAGAATGGTTTGGGTTGGAAGGAACCTTAAGACCATAATGTTCCAACCCCCTGCCATGGACAGGGACACCTTCCACTAGACCAGGTTGCTCACAGCCTGGCCTTGAACAATTCCATGGATGGGGCATCCACAGCTTCTCTGGGCAATCTGTGCCAGCACCTCACTACCCTCACAGGGAAGAATTTCTTCTTAATATCTAATCTACATCTCCCCTCTTTCAGTTTGAAGCCTGTCCTATCACTTTAGTCCTTGTCCCAAGTCCCCCTCCAGCTCTCTTGGAGTCACTTTAGGCACTGGAAAGGGGCTCTAAGGTCTCCCCAGAGCCTTCTCTTCTCCAGGCTGAACAAACCCAACTCCCTCAGACTGTCTCCATAGCGGAGATACTCCAGCCCCCTGAGCACCTCTGTGGCCTCCTCTGGACTCGCCCCAGCAGGTCCACATCCTTCTTATGTTGGGACACTGTCAGCCCCTGACCTGAGTTGTACAGGCAGCCCCTGGTCATGCACAGGCACAACAACTCTGCACGCTCGTACCGGTAACTTGAGCAGAAAATCCTCCTGGCTGAACCGAAACCCAATGTCAGTGAAGGTGCGCTGGAAAAACCCCGTGGGACGAAGAACCATCACTAAGTGCAGGTTCCCTGGGAATGATGCCTGTAAGGAAACAGAGATGTCATTCACCTTGGAGATGTGGCAGGTCCAACAACAGCTTCCAAATGCACTGAAAAGAGGGGATTTTTACTATTTTAGTATTGCTTTTGATTGCTCCTGATGACTTGTCCTTATTTTAGAAACAGGAGGGAGACACTGTAAGCAGTTTAGAGATACAAGGCCTAACTGCAGGAGGGTTGTCCAGCCCCAGTTCCCTTTGGAGCAGGCAGAAGTTTAGCCATGCACTTTGGAGGGACACTTATTATAAACTTTAATAATATATATACTGTTCGTCATTATAACTTGGAGAGTGAAATTACAACTCAGCAGGGAACAGTGGGCTGGAACATTGAGAGGAATGACAGATTGAGGAAGCAAAATTATTGCCAAACTTGCTAATCATCCCATAACTGCATTAAGCACACTCGTCTTGTTCTTGGTAATTACCAGGCAACATTTAATTTGTGGCAAGAATTTGGAATTTCCTGTCTAGGCTGCTGGAGCCTTTTTTCAAGCATATGGTTGGCAGGTGCATTTTCAAATAGATCTGTGAAAAGGGTGCTTGAGAATGAAAAATAATTTTTAAGAAAGTAGGAGTCACATCATTAAATTATGGATAAGCATATGATGCAAAGATTTGAGTTAATTAAGACATATGATTTACTCTGGGATCCTGCCAGGCCAGGTTACATTTCTCCATATATTCCTCCTTATATTATCCTCCTCCATGAAACATCATAATAGTATCTATACCAAGGATGAGAATAATGAACATGTTTAGGTATTTTGCACTTCGGAGCACTTAATCTGTGCCTCCAAAACAAAGATCACATCCATAAACATGCATTAGTCTTGTTCAAAACAGCCAAGATTTACTCTTGAGATCTGACATCCATGAAATCATTTGCTGTCACTCATTTGCTATGTTTTCTTTGGTAGGAAGGCTCAGGTTGTGGCTTCCACTGCCCACAACTTCACTTAGAAATGGACAGTGACTTTTAGGATCATATAAGCCAGATAAATTCAATATATTGATCTGGTGTTATTTTAAGTAGGAACAGAAAAAAAAATTAATGTGAATGAAATGCCAAATTCATACCCTTTGGAAGTCAACAAGAATGGTGCCAGGGACAAGGATTTGGCACTAGAAACAACAGCAAACCATTAAATAACAGAGACACTTGTGCTGGCTCCAGGCCCTGGGTCCTGTGCTCCTGCTACACAGCACCTGGGTAGCACATAACATCTCCAAAAAGTCTGCTGTCCCCAGGTACACAGGGATGGCTACAGCCATGGCAGACTCCAGGAATCAACTTCCATTCCCATGACACCTGTAGATGGACCAAAAGTCTAAATGTGGCCATGGAGTCACCAGACCTTTGCAGCTCTGAGACAGGACTTGCCCAAGAAAGTGTGGGTGAGGACCTGCAGGAGATGCAGGTTCAGGTCCCTGCTTAATTAGCTCTACAAGGAAGCTCATCTCTCCTGCAAGACAACCCCAGGCAGGCCCTCCAACAGCACAGCTAGTAGATACAGCTCAGGACTTTTATCTTGATCCTCCCATATTACTAGAAAGAAAATCATCCACAGACTACTGGATATCTCAGAGGAGTTGGAGTGGTTCCTCACTTTGAGAAAAATCTCTGCCTGGGATGCAGCAACCTTCACTGAAGAAAGCACCACCAGAACTGGCACTGGTTTGAAGACAATGCTGTAAATTCTCAGTTCACTCAAAATGTCTAATATTTCACTGGAAAGTCTCTGGTAAGCTCGACACTCATCTTCCAGTGTGTCCTAGACAAGCAGACTGCCTTTCCCACTTCACTGTGCTGGCTCTCCATTGGAGCTGGTAAATACTCCTACTGCTCTTTCCAGGCCTGTTGGCTGACCTGGCTAGTCCTTGGCACTGTCATGCTCTGGCACGTCCCACAGCACTAGGACATCCCATGGAAAGACCTGTCAGTCTGTATTCATGGCCTTCTTGTGCCCATCCCTGCAGAGCTGTGAGTACATCACGTGTTATTCCCTCATGCCCACCCTTATGTCCCTGTTTATCTCATTCTACATCCTCATCATTTTCCAGTGGGCATTTCTCTGCAGACAGGACAACAGTAGCATCCCCCAACAAGGTTTCAAAGTTCTCACCAAGAAGCCACAATGAGCTGCAGACCTCAAAGGGCAGGATGCTGTTCCTCCAAGATAGGCCCTGTGCTCCTGCCATTAATGGCTCAAACTTACTTGAACTAAAACCTTGTGAGGGCAATGGCCTTACATTGCTTTAGATCTCAGAGGCTGCAACTTGAGGTCCTTCTGCACGGTTGTGAGTTCACTGCATGTGAATCCAACGGTGAAGTTCCACAGAGCTTTGGGAAAGTTGCTGTTTCCAGTTCAGAAACACAACTGCTTGTTCAAGTCTATGAACTTTAGGCTCCTACCTTGATCCCCTTCTGAAAAAATGCATTAGGAATATCTTTGAGAAGAAAAACAAGTCAGAAATTCCTCTTTCCTTGATCTTACCTCATTATCTTTCTTCATTCCCTGTTCCCTTTAACCCTGTGCAGCTCTTCAAGCTTTACCATCTCCTACTCCTTCAAGTCCTTTTTATCATGTACCCTTTGGGTGCTCAGCAAATTCCCTGGAGAGAGGGGCTGGGTGTCCAAACCATATTCCCCCATGGGAACCTGCAGACTTTGAATGTCTTCTCCTATGAGCCCTGGAGCAGGAAACCTACAGCTCCAGGAAGATGGACCAGCAACCAGGTTGCAAGCAGAGCTGCCTGCCAAAACGACATTGCAACAGTGAAAAGGTGTGAAATGCCTGTCTGAGAGCAAAGATGCCCTTGGACCCCTCTGGTTTCACAAATGCAGGATGCCAACACGTTCCACCTGGGTTTCCAGGACAGATGATTTGATTTCTGCTCAGTTTAGAAAGCATTTGGGGATTTTTCAGCTGATTTTATATACATAGGATCAAGGTCAGCACTTACAAGTAGCTACAGAACAAGAAACACAGCTTTGCAAATGACACCTAATGCATTTCAAGCATGGAAAAAAATGAACAAGCCAAAAAATAAGCTTCCAGAAAGACAGACACCAATCAAACTATGTCCTGTGCCCCCCTAGAGGCTTAAGGGAAAGGATGAAATGTTAGAAAAAAATCACATAGACCAATAATCCCTCAGATATAGCATTCCTGAAGGGACTATTTTTTTTGATCATTGCTACAATTCCAGAGCTGAAGTGTAGATAAGTTTCCTGCAAACTGAAGTCTAATGCTACTGAAGACACTGCTGCAAAAACCCCTTTCCCACAATGTATTCAAGAAAGCGAAGACAAAAGGGTCCTTAAACTTGCCTTATGCTTTATCTTATAATTTATAACACTGCAAAGAATTGTGTGCATTTAATAAACTATGGCTTATGTAACAAAGCACCTAAAGAACCCTCTGAAGCCTTTGCCCTCTGCTACTCCCCTGCAGCATATCAGGAAAGGCAGGAAACTACCAGCGCAATTCCACTAAATCAGGCAGTTGGCAAAATTTCACTACTGTTAACTATCTCACTGACCAAAGCCCATGCTCACAACATCCTTCTCCTTCCAAGGACACAGATATGTGTACCTTAAGGCTCCAGTTCAGCACCTTTTTTAAATGCACACTTAACTATAAGCACCTGATTTAATCAATAGGGACAAACTGGGCTAATAAAGCACAAGAAAGAACATGCACTGAAAGTATCAGTTATTTCCTCCTTAGTGAATATCTCATCCTGACACATTGTGATTTCCCTCCCAGTTTTAGTTATTCAATTTTCAGGGAATATTCTTCCCTGCGGTTCACTGGGGCATCCCTGAGGTTGGTAATCAATAAACATAAAGAAAAAGCAGTATCTGCCAATAAGTTTGCTTCTGAGCACCAGAGTCTAAGGCCAGTGGTCCCCATACAGGTGCTGAAGTTAATGACTTTCTGCTGTCCCTTAAAGGAAAAGCATGTCATGCAACAAAATGCCAGATACTGCTAATGTGAGCCTTTAACTTCCCCCAGAGCCAGAATGAAAATCCCAAGCGCTCTGCTACCTTTATGTCAGCCGGCTGCATAATTAACCCCCCAAAGATGCTGTCAGCACCGCTGGGGCACCGACCCTACCCAGGGCCCCCTCGCTGCCAGAGGTTTTCCCTTCCTGCAGGAGCAATGATAGAGCCTTTCCCCGCGGTTGGAGGGCGCCGGGAGCAGCACTGCGGGGCAGCGGTACCCAGCGCCCGGCTGCTCCCGCACGGAGGATGCTACTAAAATTCCCCCCGCGCTGCTGGATTCTAGCCGCTCCGGTCAATATTCCCGCTCCCTCCATCCTCCCCCCAGTCCAAAAAGGTCCCTGGCCGCCGCGGTGCGGCCCCCCCCCGTCCTTGGGCGCTGCAGCACGCCGGGCCCGGAGCCTTACCGCATCCCGGCCGGCCCGCCGCCCGCCCCGCCGCGGGCCCGCCTCCGCCATCGCCCCGCGCCGCCGGGAGCGGATGGGATGGGGATGATCGGGATGGGGAAGGGGTGGGAGCCGCGGCGCTGCCCGAGCTCGCCCCGCTGCCAGGGGGGCGGGCAGGCAGCTGTACAGGCAGGCAGGCAAACCCTGCCGGCACCCGGCTGGCAGCCCCGCTCTCCTCCCCAGTGCTGGGTTTGCTTTTAAGGTGGAATGCAAAAAATCATCCTGCAGACGGGGCCAGCTCTTTCCTTCGAGGATTGGGCTTTCAGTTTAGAGCTTTCATCCTTCCCTTTCCCTCTGTCATTATCTCCAAGGTACATTTTCAAGCCGTTTAGTATTTTAGGGGGAAACTAAGGAAAGATGCTATGGCCAAAACCTGAGGCTTGACCCCGGCAGTAGGGCATCACTTCCCAAAGCCAGGAGTACCAGCATGAGCCTAGTTTGCCCATGCAATTAGAGACATACACAAAGAGTTAAATCAAAAAATCTGTACAGCCTGATATAAAAATTTTTCTGGATCAGATGCACAACCGCAGAGCTGCAATTGCATATACATATGCTCAAAAAATAGGACACACTCCGTATTTCAAATTCAGCTTCTTTGCACTCCTTTATTCCAAAATTACACAAAGATCAGAAAAAAAGATTTCTCTTATTGCAGCATGGCTTATGGTTTATGATTGGAAAGAACTGAAGATTTAATTTTTTGTTTTAGCTGCACAAAGGCAAGTCGAGATGCCTCCTGGACATAGAGACAGCTCTTTAGGGCCAGACTCTATTTTTAAGGCAAGATTCCCAAGTCTTAAGATTTAGTGGACACAGGTTTCCTGCTTCTCATCCCTCTTTTCACAGATCACCTCCCCACCATTTACATGGACAGCCCTGATACTGTGGGCAAAGTCACTTCTCCACCCAGACACACAGCACATATAGCTACCCAAACAGGGTGTATGCTTAAAGGTCACACAGTAATTAAATTTACTTATCAAACACAAAATTAATGACACTTCTCTAGAAGCTACAAATTAGGACAGGATTTTTTCACATTTGAAAGTTCCAAACTATGCAAAGCAACTACATCATCCTTAAAGGGTGCTCTTGGTACTAGCACCTGTTCAAACACTGGCAGCAGAACTGAATTTTGATGATCACTTTAAAGAACTACTTTTTAAATGCTGCTTCTTCTCTAATGGTATGGTAACCACGCTTGGAAATTCCATTTATAACATTCAGAAAAATCAGAACCCAAAATCCTGCCAACAGTATCTCATGCACACTGCTAAAAGGGAACCCTCTCTTCCTCCTATGAGATGCTAACCAGTAAAATGCCATCAAAGCCAGCTATTTTTTACACTGAGTTCTGCTGTACCAGTACTAACTATCTGATTTATCCGATCTGACCAGAACCAGGTAAGCGTTTTATTCCTCAGAACATACCATTTACTTCATTCTCTATCAGGTGGATCAATGCCTTTAACTGTTCAATGATTACAAGCAGAAACAAAGGCAATACAAACACACCCAGATTATTTTCATTGATTTACCCATGTGGCATGTTCTGGTTGGGAAAGGATTTATCAATTAGCTCTACCTATCCACGTTAGTAGATCCATGCAGCTATTAACATGACTTTTCAGTACCTCCATGCACTACTGTAAATCCATGCTCTGATTCCATAAGACACAGCACATTGCTGAGTTGCAAAAACAGTACTTTTGAGATATGTTCAGACAAGATATGTGCTGATCATGTGTAGCACATAAACATGTAAACTAGATCATTTAAAACACATGAATGAATACATACACTTTTAAAATAGATTTTTCCACACATATCCACATACAAATGCTTGTGAAGCCTGTTTAAAGAACCTAAAACTTTCAGTCACCAACAATTAGGTAAAGTACAGTCTCACAAATAACCAGTTTCTAAAAAGAAAGTATATGAAGCCGAAGTTTCCACCCATCAGAAGCATAGAATGTGGCACAAAACACATTTAAACCACTATGAAAAAGTACAAAACTAAGCAAATGAATCAAACAAGTAAATTAATACTCAAACAGCTCATTTATGCACTCAAATTAATTACAGGGCCATAAAACAAAATACTACCTGGAGAGAAAGCAGGAGCATCATTGCTCCTGGTTCCCAGTGTTTTATGGAAGAGATACATAATGGACATGGTGACTTAGTACATTAAAGGAAATTAACATTAAAGAGGACTTACTGCTATTTTTTGAAGAGTCATTTTGACTGATGTCCATGTGTCCAATCTTCTATCCAGGATTAGGATAAATTTGGTGTCAGACTCATATTGACTGTGAGATAAGAAAATACCAATAACCAGATCATATTTTGAGGAAATGTGACTCTGTTCCCCCTCCCCCAAAAAAACCCCAAAGTCAAGAACATGGAATGTAAACCACATTTTGGTACCTCCACGGTGGCTGAAATTCCCTTCGGAAAAAACTTTCCTGCCAGACTCTTTCCAGTGGTGCTCAGCAACAGGACAAAGTGTAATGGACACAAAGTGAAGCCCAGAGAAGTCCATTTGAATATGAGAAGAAATTTCTTCATTCTTAGGGTGGCAGTGCCCTGGAACAGGGATGCCCAGAGAGGTTGTGAAATCTCCTTCTCTGGAGATACTAAAAACCCGCTGGGGGTTTTGAATATCTCCAGATATTCCAGTGCAACCTGCTCCAGGTGAATCTGCTTCAGCTGAGGGGTTGGACTAGATGATCTTTAAGATCCCTTCCAACCTAAGCCCTTCTATGATCTCCACAGCTCCCTTCCCACTCCAGCATTTCTGTGATTCAGTGACTGTGGTAGCCCAGGGTTAAGCATCACTTTGAATTGTGTGGGAGGTGAAGACAGATTGCTGGAGATAACAGATTGCTCTTGAAACCCAAACTAGTCCTGAGAATGATGCTGCAGAGGCCAGAGGTAGCTGTGCTCCTACTCAGCAGCTCTGGAGTTGCCAGAAGCCTCCCTCTAGCTGATGCCCCAAGACCCCCCTGCCTTCACTGCCCAGCTCTTCCAGCTGAGGGAGCTGCCTGCTTCCCAGGTTTCATCAATCAAGCGATGACTCCTGGCTTGTTTTGGCAAAAGGCAACAGAAGTGACGCCAAGCCAGGGAAGGGCAATGCCAGCTTGGCAGAGGGAAGGGGGGAGCTGGTGCTGAAACTGGTTGTTGTGGCTTCCCCAGCACCTCCCGCAGTCCCACTGGGGAGGCAGAGATTGCTCGGAGGCACTTTCCGACATACTCTGGTTTAGTTGGCAAGCACAGGCTTCCTGACATCCCTTTTGACACCCAAATCCTTTGAGTTGCTTTGAAATCCCCAGTCACACAAAGCGAGCCAGCCGTACCGGGGGTGCCCAGTCTGGCAGGGGACCCAACGCCCGGCTGAGCTCCTGTCTGTAATTCAAATATTCCTTTCCCAGGTTAGCTGGGAACAGCTCAGCCAGGCTCCAGCTGTGACAATACACACTCCCAGGCAGCCTGAGTGACAAACTGGAATCGTGTTTGCACACAGGTAAGGGTACGCCAGCCTGTAACCAAGTCCTGCAATGCGAGTGTATTTACAGGATACTTAAGTAATATTTACAATATTTATTTTGCGGATGCTGAAACAGGATAGCCATGTCCCACGCCACCCTATCCAGGCGTCTCAGTGCTGGGGAGAGGCTCCCAGTACACGTGCTGGCTCCCCAGAGGTGGGTCGTGTATCTGCACTGGGCACGGCCCTGTGTAAGCAGCCTCCTGCAAGCACCGTCTTCGCTAATTCTTGTGTTTGGCAAGGGAAAACACACGGTGGATTACTCAGAGCAGTATCACATGGCAGACAATATTTGGCAACTTCACTACAGAAGAAAAAAAAAAGACATTTGAAGCCAGTGTAGGAGCTTTCATTCAGTACACATCTTGCTGCTCTGGTCTGTGACAGCCACAACTCTGACAAATATATTTCAAAGGAATTAGCAGTTGTGCTCAGAGGGATAAAAAATGAAATTACCTTTGGCTCATAATAACAGTTGACTGAAGATATGCAGAGGCAACCCAAGCTGTCCTACAAATATATCTTATGGATTTGTAACATCACACTCAAAGTGCAAAGGTTTCATGTGAATTTATTCAGTGCCTTTGAGATATAGCAGAAAACAGCAGAGAAAATGAGTATCAAATTTTACACATGGGTCATACACAGAACTTCTGCATGTAATAAAGTCTGAGGTTATACATTGTGAACATGACTTTTCAGTCAAAACCTTTACTAGCTAAAATAGTTTTGGCAACATGCAGGTTTCTGTTGGTTCTGTTCACCCCCACCACAAACTAAATGACCCAGGTGGGAGAGGGGCAAAGGATCCTTTTGTCTGAGGCAAAAGTAAATGCTTTGGTTTTACAGCACAGAAACAATTCCCCAACTCCCCATGATATTAAAAAACAAAAAAAATAGTGTTTACAGAGCACTTCATCATAATAAACCCTGAAGAAAAAAACGAGAATCCAAGTAATTTGGAAAAGTCAGCCAGACTCTAGTGCACTGCCAGTTAATAAAAATATGCCAAAGCAAGCTGCTTACTCAGGGCAAGGTTATATTCAGAGAGTAACCTCTAAGCATGCTAATTTACATTTATCAGTTCCCTTATAGAAACAAAGAAGAAAGTTCCCAGCAGTCTAACAGCCTTGGAACCTACTGTGGGAAATTTTAAATTTATTCTGGGGCCAGTGGAGCAAGTCTGTGACTATTTGCAACCTCGGCCTTGCAGGTTTATCAGATTTCCAGGCCTGCAATATACCTTTTAGACTGACAAAAAAAAAAAAAAAATCAGTGCTTTCTACCAAGGCTGCAAGGGGTGTTCATTTGCATCCAGCAGCAGAAAGATGGAGACAGATAACCGGGACAAGGATTACTTCTCTCTAGGTGCTTCTTAGTTTTCTTTTTCTTCTGAGTTTTTTTTTTTTACTTATCTTTAACTTTGTATGTGTTGCAGGATGCACCAGACTAAAAATAAAGACCTGGGGTGTTTTGCAGGAGGACTTGAAATTGGATCCCAGAGTCTGCAGTTGTGAGATTTAGCACAGGACTGAGAGACTCTTTGCCGCTGGTGGGATCAGGGCACACCAGCACGACCTGCCTAATATTGAAATTCAGAAGTATTTATAGCCAACAGCACCCTTCACTGTGCCACTGCTCTGTTATCAGTCACAGCTTTAAACCACTTTGCACCTCACTTCCCAAGATAAGTGAAACATGCAGAGCTCGTCTAAATACCAGAAAGCTGGATAGTCAAAGAATAGAATAGAATAGAGTATTTCAGTAGGAAGAGACCTACAGTGATCATCTGGTCCACCTGCCTGACCAATTCAGGCTGACCAAAAGTTAGAGCATGTTTTTAAGAGCATTGTCCAAATGCCTCTTATACACTGGCAGCTTGGGATATCGATCACATCTCTAGGAAGCCTGTTCGAGTGTTTGGCCATCCTCTTGGTGAAGAAAGGCACACAGCCAACACTATATATAAAGGGATTTTTTTAGTTTTCAATGACAGCATTATTTTTCTTTTACTTTAATGGTAATTAGGACAGTTTTTCGTAATAACAATCTTACATATATCACAATTACCTGTGCCTCTCCTTCAAGCACAGCCTGAAGACAGGCAGGGAGGTATTTTGAGTTGGATGTGCAGGCCACAGAAGGTGGGGACCTACTACTTATTTTCCTTTACAGCTCTTTCACTCAAGTGCTTTCTGCAGCTGCCTCCTTGCCTGTAGCACAGTTGCCAGGAATCCTAAAAATTAACTTGCCTACAGGACTCACCTTTCTCCTGGCTCTGTTATTAATGCTCTCACCTTGAGGAATGAAGAGTAGCTTCACTCCTTTATCTAACAATTATTTCCGGGAGAAAAATGCCTTATGAAATGCAGCTTCCCAAAGTACTACAATTCTGACAAAGCTTCCAATGAGGCTTACTCAGACTAATATCAGTGGGACACTAAACAGTCTTTGCTACTGCTTGCATAGGAAAGGCACAGTGTGTGTGGGTTTGAGATGCCCCTAAACATCCACAGGTCTGTGGTAAGGAAGTGTTGGTGTACCCACAGCTAACTCTGACACACAGGTCAAATATTTACCTATTTTAGGGACTTCCTGGGCCAAAGTCTGAGCTCTGGTCCCATGATGTGATGCAGCTGAGAGATGTGTACACAGGGGTACCACAGCTGACACATGCCTACCACCCTCACCTAGGTGATGCTTTTCCTTGCTCACCAACACCGCAGCCTTTTCGGCTCTAAAGGGCTAAGAAGCACACATGTTTAGATGTGTTTATTGGAGCAGGCTGTTATGGTGGTAGGAGGAGCAGAGAAGGATGATTAAAGTGATTTTACTTAAACATACTGAACGTGTTTGAATCACCAGCAAGCTCACAGCTCTCATTAGTTTCTTGATTGAGTTTGACCTATTATAGGGACAGCAAGACTGCTCATCATGCTAATGCCAGGGTGTTCACAGTCACATGGAATAAGAAACCCTGGAGAAACCAGGCAGAGCTGGGAAGTGCAGACGCACAGACAAGGACTGCCTGCACAGGACGAAGGAGAAACCCCCCTGACTGTCACAGACCACAGCAGGGTCCTGTCCTGTTGGGATAGTGCTCTGCAGGCCAGGAGCCCACAAAACCTCAGAGTCCATCAAAAAGAGGACAGAGGAACCAGATGCTCTTTTTTTTTTGCCACGCAGAGGTGGGTAAATGCTCCATACTTCTTTCAAGGCAGCCACTGATGGAAAGCTCCCATCTAGCTGCTGTCAACCTGCTCTCCCTGCAGGAAGAAATTTGCCAAAACAGGCATTATTCAAGAAAATTAAGCATTCCAAGTAACTGAGTCACCAGGCTCAGCAGCAACAAATAGGAGGGCCATTAATCTAAGGATGCAGCCCTGTATGAGGCACAGGCAGACTGTCAGCAGCTTAACCCCAAGACACAGGCGGATAATGGGAGCTGCTGAGCCTTCGCCTGTCACAGGGACCCCAAACGGTTTGTTCCTGTAATTAGTCTCTTCCTCTGGCTTCATTTCTCTTTTTCCACAGTAATGACTCTCTATTTGTACATGTCAAAATATTATTTTGCACTGGCATGGCATATATTAAGTGGTGACACATGCTAAAGCTTGAGGAAAGCTTGCTGTTAATTAGAAACTTAATAAACTAAATAAACTGAACATTGCAGCTGACAGGTCATAGGGATAATGTCCACTTCTTACTCTGCAGTTAGTGACACCTTAAGAACCACACCTGGACAACTTAAGGCCTTGCATCATTTGACTTTTCTCTCTTCCTTGCTCTGAGAGCTGAAGATGCCCCTCAACCCCACATATGGCATTACCCTTGCCTGACCCAGGCAGGACTCACACCTCTGCCCATCACAGACAAGAGCTAGAAGAGAGCCTCATACCTCGGGATTGACGTTAGGTATGTTAAGACTTTAGACACAGTCTCCTCGGGCACCTCGTTGAAGCGAGCATTGTCGGGGAGGGTGATAATCCAAGCCTTGTCCTTCCCTCGGCCACCTGGAATAAAAACAAGGATGTCTCCGTGGCTGTGCTTTCAAAGAGGGCCAACAGCAAAGACCAGAGGTCCACCAGTCACATCAGAAAACACAGTGCCATTGTCATAGAGGTTTTTTTTACATCAATGAAATAGCAAAACCCAGTCCAAGCACAACACACACAGGCAGGTGGTAGAAACAAAAGTATTAGTTACCAGATATTTCCTTTATTTACTGAGCGTAGTTTATACGGGACAGCAAAAGAAGTCAGAAATACAAGGACAAAACAGCACACTGGTATGGAAATATATTTCAGAGCAAAGCACTTGTTAATGCATTGAGTGTTGGAAGATAAGACTATTTTACAGTATGGCACGAGACAGAAACCTAATCTGCTCTTTCAAACTGTTTCAATGTTTTATTAACAGCATTTCTAGTGGCACTGGATACTACCTGATGGGTAATATTCCTTGTGGAGTATCATTTTGCCAAATAGTGCAAAGTTTGTCTGGAGTATTTAATTACCACACAGATGAGAGAGAGAGAGACCCTGGAGACGTTCTCGGTACTCACCAGACAGAAAAGCAAACTCTTTCATCAGATCATCACTGATGTCCTTTGCACAGAAGGGTATGGCGGTTTCTGGAAAAAGGGAAAAGCAGCAGTCAAAAAGAAAGCACAAATCCAAAGCAAACCCGTTTATCAATGTGCTAATCCAAAGGTGGAACTTGAACCAAATGCAGCTTCCCTAAATTATACATGAAATTTTGTAACAAAGGATACATGGATCTTACAGAAAGCAATGTTTCTAGTAACAGTAACAGGCCAAATGCCACATATGAGTAACACATGTATTCTAGTAAATGTACCACAGGAGCAGTGCCTGCAAGCTTGAGTGATCTCCCCTCAACCCTCAAAGGGTCATATCCAATGTAAATTTTTATATTTTGGAGTTACTAATTTTACTCTCCTATTTTACAAAGTCTCCCAGTGCTGCCTAGCCCAATGCAATGGGCTGAGGTTTCTGCTGGGAGCAGCAGTGTCCCAGGCTGCTGCACTGGGAACAAGGTTGGGCTTTGAGACTGTTACAGTCTTTAATTTTGAACAAATAAGCTTCTGAAATCCTGTGTTCACCTGGCACTGGGCCATAGGCACTGGAGAGGCTGTTGGTTTTATGTTCAGTTATTAGATTTCTTTTTAATTAAATAATGGGAGAGGCTGTTTTAGTACCATATTTAGCAACATGATCATTTCAGTGTCAATGAAGCACATCGGAACAACATACACCACTTAATCTTTCCCTGGGAGAAGGAAACAAAGACCTGACTGACTAAACACATGAGAAGCTTATAGTTGATAGACATTTTTCTGGATTATCTATATATGGAATGATAGCCAAAAATTAAACATCCTTGTTCCCACAAATAAATGTTTTAAACCACATCTATACAGATTAAAGTCCTTGGGCTTTCTGATAATGAAATTTTAAACACTGATTATTTCACAGAGTTGGTCCTAGGGAATAATCTGGCTGTTTTAAATCAGATGGGCTGCATACTTCTGCATACTCCAGCATAATCAGTATTTATTCTATTTCCCATTTCCCAAAAGCTTTCTGGTCACTTCTACTTTAACTAAAGATTTTTCAGGCCTTTACTGGGCTGTATGGTGCTGCAGCACAGCAGCCCAGATGCGCAGGAGGGGGGGGTTACTCTGCCTCCCACAGCTCCCACCAGCCATGGGCTGCTTTTTGCCCTTCTATGCACACGCTGCTGTTTCTCCTCTTGTTGATAAAAACGCTGGTTTTGTTTGTTAAGGATCAAGCCTCAGTCCCACTGGCATCTACAGAAACATTCCTGATTTTAACCCTAGAACTGGTCTTGGTGAGAAGGAAGTTTGCCTTGCAAAGATATTTCAAATATTTGTCTCCCATTCAACTGCTTCACCCAACCTGAGGACAAGCAGCGGCAAGAGATTTCTTCTCTATTCATTGATGTTTTTACCAAGTCAACAGTTTCATACTGATAAAATTCACACTTAATAACTTAATGAGCTCCAAGACATGAAGTAGATGGTATTAAACATGCAGGTCTTTGGAAACACAAGACAAAAGTCCACACTGTGCAAACATATTTGACTCAAATCAGTGTGGGGCTCTCAGCAGCCTGTCCGTGTTCACATACAGGCTGAAGCCTGTCCCCAAAGCTCACCCTGCCTACCCCTGGCTTTCCCGGAAATGCAGCCACCAGCAAAGCCAGGCATAGTTTTGCCATGTGCTGTAACACCCACGAGTGACTCAAGTGCTTGACAGCAAAAGCAAACACAGCTCCAGGTTGATAGTAAATGCAGCTTTTGTGTTGGTTCTGCACTGATGTGGGAGGGACGTGCCAGTTAATTGAGAGCTGATCAGGAAACAGGTTGGGGAAAGGGGATTAACCTTTGCATACCACTTAATAAAAAAGGTTCACAAGATATTTTCTCACTGAGAACATAAAAATCTGCAGCCTTCAACTACACTGGAGACAGCTATGGTTGGGAAAAAATGAGCATTTTTGCACAGATGTTTTCAAATTTTGCTTTCCAGAAGAGAAATATAATCTCAAAAGTGTATGATCTACTCACAGAGTCTGGTGCTTCTTCTTTCACATCTCTCTTACCTACAATTTCCCCATGATTGTCATGGAAACTGCAAAAACCAATGGATGTTTTAATCCTACCTGTGCTAGGGCCTGCAGTAGGACTTGCTGTGCTCTCTGGAAACATGGGCACAGGTGCCCCCAACCTCAGAGCATGACAGCTAAGCACAACACCAGGGTCATGATGGCAAGTGGACCTGACATTTTGGGGTTTGAGGTACAAAGCATCATAGAAAAACATTTCCCACCAAGCTCAGGAGTCATGGTTTACTTGCTCCCCAACATTTCATTCCACTGAATGTTTCATCCTTGACTTTGGCACAGAGGTGGACACCCAGACTCCTACCCCCTTATGACTTTGAGTATCTTGCTTCCCAAGGGATGACAGTTTTGGAAGAGGGCACTCAGCACCTGCAGAAAATCAGGTCCTTCTGAGCAGTGCCAAGCTGAACAAAATAACTTATTCAAGGAACGAGTAGGTGGGAGTACCTTACTGCAGGCAGTGCAGATGGAGCAATTCCCTTACAAACCCTCCCCATCTCCTGTGAGGTAGAATAATCTAACAGTGAAAGAGGAGAAGGATGGCTGCCCTTTGGCAAGGTCAAGGCACTACAATAGCCTGATTGTGGTCCGATTGAAGCCACTCCTTGGCCAACTCATCCTTGGCACTCGCTCTGTGTTGGCCACCGAACTCAACCTCCTGGGCAAATATTAGGGAAAATCAAGTGCTGGCATCAAATTCACAAGCGTGTTGCTGTGCCTGAGGCACATCAGTTGGATGCTGAAATAAATCATGAACAGAAGCATGACCTTTGTCCTCAAATATTAATCTCTGGAAAAACAGCAGTCAAAGGCAGTGAGGCACCAAAGATATCCGCCTCTCAAACAAGGCTTCAGTTGATGTTCTTGAGCAACCTGGGGATTTCTTCTTTAAAGGGCACTCTTGGGACAGTACAGAAAAGACCCCGGGGCACTGCCCAGCACTGGCTATGAACAGTACAGCCAGCCTGCATGTCACTTGGCACAAGGCAGAGGAAGTTAAAGTTTCATGGAAGTCCAGCCATTTCTTTCAAAGCCAAAAAGAGGCTTTGTGATCATCAGCTATTACAAAATCAAGCCTGAACTCCCCATGTTTCAGCATCCAAGAGTATATAAACTACACTGCTGTGCCACACAGCTGGTATGACCTCAGGTTTTACTAAAATCCAGCAGCATCTGGATGGGTAAACTCTCATAACAATGTAGCATCATTTTTATTAGGTTCTAAATTGGGCATTTATAAAATGCTGCTGCAATTATTACATTCAGAGACTCTCCTGCAGGGAGATCGTTGCCATGACGCAGAGTTTTGGAGGATGTGTGAAGCCAAGCAGGGAAAAGACAAAGGGGGAATTCAGAGCTTTCTACCCCACTGAGTAAAACTAACGTGGCTCAGCAAGGAGCCCTGCTGAATCTGTCCTGTCCCCATCCCCTGGTTTACACAGTCCAGAACATTTGGCTGTGTCCCCTCCACAGGGCCATATCTCGAGGCCATTGCACAGACTGCAGTTGTGAGAATGATGCCTGTTGTCAGCGATCTCCCCTTTCGAGGCAATTCAAGCACGGAGGGACTTTCATGCACAGTGGAGGTCTGTAGTGACACTCAGAGAGAGGACAGCTACTCTCCAAATTCCTCTTGTAACACTCAATTAAACTCTGAAGTGCTTTGGTCTTTAGCACCTATTGTTTTCTTTCCTTTTCCAAACTTCACAGGCCCACAGCATCTGCAGACAGCAGCTGGGTAACACATCTGCCAAGCTGATGTAACAGCGCCTTACACTCACCACACTGGCCAAATATTGTTTGCTGCTATAAAATCCATTTGGAGATGGCTTTGTTGTGAATGAAGAATAGCAGCTTTTCATGTGGGGGTTGCTGCTGTAGTCTAGGAAACAAAATTGAAGAAAATCAAATGAAAAGGGTAAAGGATCACACTGAGCTTCTCCATGATCTGCTTGTCCATTTGGACAGCTGGTGAAGCAGCATTTATTCGGTGTTGAGGAAGCCTGCAAATCAGCACATTTGTAACCTATTTCCACGTCCCTCTGACTTTCTGGGCTAACTGGGGTCACCAGCCAGCGTCTGTCTCAGGTTGTCCCACTGCAGAAAAGCCCACCTGCCTGCAGCATCTCCTTTGAGACTAATGACACCTGTAACACAGACCTACACACATCGACAGTGTTTGCAGGAAGCTCTGGGGCTCAGGGAGCTTCAATGAGCAGGGCTTCTTCCAGCTGCCACAGCTGCCACATGACCCTGTCAAAATGTCAGTGTCAGTGCCAGCCTCCCTGAACAGTTCATGGAGCACAAACTAGGCTGAGTGTGAGGAGTAAGCCATTCCCATCTTTGCTTTGCACAGGAGTCGGAACCGAACTCCCTTCAAGCAGAGTGCCCCAACCATGAACCCGGCACAGTGAGGAGAGTGGCCCTTCCAGCTTCTCCTGCTGGAGCTGCTCGACTTTGCAAAATTATATATTCATTGGGCAAAAGAACAGAAGCACAGCCCTATTTCTGAGGAGAAAGACCAATGCACCACCTGGGATCTGTCCTCTAACTCAGCCCTGATTGCCATACACACTCCAAACTCCAAATACCCTAAAGGCGTGACCCTGCAGCCCATCACACACAGCACTCATTTTGGATATGGGGAACAGTTAAACTTGACATTTAAATAGCTGTAAAAGGCGAAGAGCTCCTCCAAGAAGAATGACAGAAAACTATACTACAGGGCTCCTTGCTGTATGAAAACCCGAGTCTCCATCATCTTGGTGTGCTGGGTTTGACTAGAATAAAGTTAATTTTCTTCAACGTAGCTGGTATGGGGCTGTGTTTTAGACCTGTGCTGGAAATGCAGTTGATAATTCATGGATGTTTTTGTTATCACTGAGCAGGGCTTACACAGAGTCACGGCATTTTCTGCTCCTCACCCCACCCCACCAGCAAGTGGGCTGTGGGTACACAAGGATT